TGACTGTACCAAAGATCACAGGAGTCTGCTCCAAAATATCGTGGGTGATCTTCGATGAGATAAACCCCCGCATCTGCTCATCAATTGGCTCAGCACCTACACTTGAGCCTGAACCAGAACCTGAACCTCCTCCGCGTGTGCTCATCACCATATTAAAAACAATCATACAAATGATCAGTACATACCCAATAATCCTCAACCAACAGGCTTCCTAGACTCTCCGTGACTCTCCTCGATTCGAGTATGGATCCTATGCTTTCAGTAGTACAGGCCCAATACTAACTTCCACACCTATCCATACTTTCCTCAAGAAATATCCCAAATCCTCCAAGTCACCTTCTCAAACTGATACTCTGAATATCTGTTAAACAGCACAGCCAACTCACTACAACACACCCTAGAATCTCTTAGGATTCCTCACCCCACCCCGCCATCAGCTGTTGAAGAACTCCCACCAACGTCATCTAACCACTTCATGAATACAATCACATGCCACAAAGCTTAGATAATCCTTCAAGTAAAAGACTCAACCCTACAACAGTTAGACTCAAACGAGATCTGCGAAATAGAGTCAAGTCCATCACTCTGAGATTATTGAACCTTTGCAATATGTGATTTAACATATTTACTTAATAGTTAACTAACATCGCTAAGAGTTCCACAAAGCACCAAGCAAGCAGCATTCGGGCATTGGAAAGTCTAACCAGCGTATCACCTAATAAGGCCAATCTATCCATACTAGCATGCAATTTCATAAGCTCAAACAATCAGGCATATAAAGGCATCTCTCCTAGCATGAAATTCTGAGCAGATCTTTAGCCCTAACCTAGCATACAATTCTCATAACATATAATCATAACAAACATGTATGGGTATTTTGGGATCCACTTACTTGAGCTCGACCGATTGCACGCATCCCACCCCCTTTTTCTTTATAAAAGTCTTTTTAGAAAATTTATTTTCTTTCAAAAAGATTATCAGTTCCTCAGTTTGAGTTCAGACACACTGGAGAGTGTGTCCGAATCCTTCAAACCAAGGCTCTGATACCAACTTGTAACATCACAAAAATCATAAGGTAAAATTTTCATTTTTAATTCAACCACAAACACCATTTTAGCATCTCCAATCATTCAAAAGTACATTAAGGTAAAAAACAGTTATCAGAGTACAATCCCAAAATCATAAGTTGCGAAAACATGGGTGGATGCAATGCAGTCACATCGGGCCCTTCCCTTTTGTACCGGAAGTACCTGAATCCATAAACAATAATTCATAAGCACAAAGCTTAGTGAGTTCCCCAAAATACCACATACCATACATATAATAGAGATTGCTATGTGCCGACCATAGTCTTGCCATTATGCTACGAGTCGTATCATGGTCTTTCCTTGTCAGGTCGGGGGCCAATACCCTGGGTCTTACAGACAAGTGTCAGGAGCCACCTCCTGGTCTTTCATGCAAGTATCACAAAGACAACTAACATACTATCTAGATGGCAATATGTTATTTTTGGGAGGTTCAGAGACTCGATGGAATAGTTGGGTTCCCATCAAACTCAATATTCTTATTTGGAGAATTTTGTTACAATGTATCCCCACTAGAGAGACTTTTACATAGAGGTATCATGGTGGACTCGATCTTGTGTCATGTATGTTCCTTTACTGTCGAGACAGTCGATTATCTCTTCGTTACTTGTAGCGAGCGGATTGACATATGGTCGTGTATTGCATTTGGTGGGGTATTTAGACTTCAGCTCATACTACAGTGCAATCTCTCCTTTCTTAGTCAAATTCGATTTCTTTGAGGCTTTTGAAGCGGTGATTTTTATTACTTTTTGGTATTTGTGGAACTTCCGCAATTCCACTGTTTTTGGCACGACTCTTTCTAGGAAATCGTGCATTTTTATGATATTGTTCATAAGGCAATTTTTTGGATTTTCAATAGGTATAACAAAGCAAACCTAGGATGGTCTTATTGGCTACATAATCCTACTCGTAGCTACTTTATTGATGTAAAATCGGACATTTTTTATGATATTGTTCACAAGGCAATTTTTTGGATTTTCAATAGATATAATAAAGCAAACCTAGGATGGTCTTCTTTCCTAACTCCTTGCTACTTTTCTAATAAAATCCCCTTGGTTAAAAAAAATACATTATAAAATGATATGTGCTAGTTTTCTAATAAAATCTCCTTGGTTAAAAAAAGACATCATAAAACGATGTGTTTTGATTCTTGAGAACCAGGAGCCTCTAATATAAAGTCTCATTCGACTTTCGAAAGTCATATTTGGAACAGTTTGTGAAAGAAGCACAAACGAGAGACGCTTTAGAAGGTTTTTCAGGTGCAAACAAGCTCCCTTTAACTTAATTAGATCAATCGCATTCAATCACATATATCCAATCTCCCTTTATTACCGCAAATCTTTCGTTGGCATCATTGAATCAATGTAGGGTTTATGTTTCTTACATAATTTACTCATTCTAGGGTTTTACCCAAATCATTAACTTGAATCATATGCTTCGTGAAATGCGTTTTCCCCTTACATTATCTCATATTTTCTATTAGAATCGTACAAAGTGATTGCTTTGAAAGAAATCGGTGCTTCCCTGAAGAAATTAGTTACTACCAGATTCTAATGCCTTCGTATTTGGAGTGATTTACTTTTAATTATCTGTTTTGATTGTAAATTTGTGATACATAGTTAGATGCTACCACATAATCGGTGTTTTACTATGTTTATTTCTTTAGCTGATTATCTTCATTCACCTATTTGTTTGTGGCAAGTGAAATGGGTATTCCCCTGATTAGGGTTTATATGTTAATATCGAAATCAAAGCGATTTCATTCACTGATTTCTGATTTTAGCATTCTTTTAGACATATAATAACCTTTCATAAATCGCACATTCTTCATTTCTTTTTCTAATTACTGAATGATTATTGTATTGTAGAAGATTCTGTAATTTACATTTTCTCCAACAAAAAGCATCATGTTCACCACAACAGTAAAATACCTTGGCACAAAACCAAAACCAGCAATGAAAGCGTTAGAGCCCAGATTTCGCCCAGAGCAAAATCAAACAATCACCAGGGCTATTTTCGACATTTTAAAGGAACATGGTCCTCTCTCTGTTGCTCAAACATGGGAACGTGTCCAGGTGGCGATATCTTTACAAATATGCATTTTCAATCTGATTATTTGATTATTATTTTATGTATAATATAATGATGATTATTACAAAAAAAAAATGTAGGAAGTTGGTGTGAAAGATTTGACAAGTAAAACACAAATGAAGAATGTATTGAGGTGGATGAAAGAGAGACAGAAGCTTAAGCAAGTATGCAACCATGTGGGGCCCAATAAGCAGTTTTTGTACACAACATGGTTCACTGAAGCGCCAGCTGTCAACCAAATAAGGTCTGGAGGGGTTAAGTCGTCTAGATCGAAGGCTTCTTAAACTTTGTTGGATGCAATTTATCATCCGAATAGACAAAATGTTGTTCTTTTGATTTTGATCATGCAAAATGGTTTTAGACATAAGTTATGACATTTTGCATTTGAGTTTTCTTTCTTATGCTTTGATTTTGTGACATTTTGAAGAATTTTATTGTCTATTTGTTTTGTTGGATGGAATGGAATGACGAAATAATACAATAGAGGGATAATGGAATGAGTTATTACATTCAATGATCATATAATGGAATGAATTTTCATATCAAGTTTATGTATTGTATAGTAAATTACAAATATGGTCCATGTGTGTTCTTTGAAATGATGCATGTATTGTCCATAAGAAAACAACATACATCATTACATCATATAATTATTAGTTTTCCATGCATGAACTAAGCATGAAATAGCCATGACTTTAAGCATAAATTCATGCATATCACTTTTTTGCAAATTCATAAGCCAAAATACTCATTAATTTCCAATTGGCAAAACATGAACTAAGCATACCACATAAGAGGATAACAATTGGCAATATTATTGTCAATTTAAGTTACATAACCAAGAGATATAATAAAACATAAGCAATTGTTAACTTTAATTTACATACAAAAAGACATTACCAAAGTACAATTTTTAAACAAGTACCCCTCGGTGTCAAACATAAGTAATTTTCACACTTTTCAACTTCCCTTGATTACAATTTACTTCTCTTCATAGAACTAGAAAACCAACTCCTATAAGTAAACAATATCTTTCACCACTAAAATGGTGTAAAGAACAATAGCTTTGGAATTGTCACATGCTTCATGAACCTCTAATTCTTCAATAACATACTTAGACGAAAGATGTTTCGCCAATGATCTATCTAGAATTTGATTTCCTTTTATTTAGCCACAAACTTAGACAAAGCAATGACATATTCTTCATTATCTAGGGCTAAAAGGCTAAAGTCCAAATTTCTTTTGGAATCAAGAAATTAGGTATTTTTAGTCATAACTTAGTTTTTTCATCATGGTTTGAACATCATGCATTGAAAAGCCATCCGTCATTGACATCAATATAGATTACATGGCCATTAATGTTCCTAGGGGAACATAATGAGCATGAACCATGATGATCTTTAGGTTTTATGCAGATAAATCTCATTATTTTGGGGGAAATTTTGATAAAATGATAAATCTTTTTTTAACAAAAAAATCTCATTATTTTCGACAAATCACATAATCTGTCATTTCCTGTTACAATAAAAAAAAATTCATTAATTTTGGCAAAATGTTAAATAATCGTGACTTTTCTGTTCAAAATTTTTTTTTAAGACTATCAAAAAATTTCCCAGAATAACAAGACTTTTCTGCATAAACTGATGCATCTTTATGGTAAAGATGTTATAATGTTTGATATTATGGAAAACTCATTAGGGTTAGCATTGCGTTACAAAATGATACAGATTAAAAGCTTACAACTATTTTTACTGAACACTTCTACACAAATTGAAACCTCAAGCTACCAGCTACTTTTGCCAAACATACTCATACTGCATTTTGGTGCACAGAAAAACTCAAACTTTCATAACGAATATAATCAAACCATATTACAAACTAACATTATAAAACTCATGAACAACACAACAATTCACTATACCCGATTTTACAAAAATCCAATTTCAAATTTAAATCATCTATTCCCCTTTTGTAACACTTGTTTTAAAACACCCGCAATTCTATCGGCCATGTGTCGTTCTAAAAACATTTGTTTGACCCTCTCATAACCCCTCTTCCCCATTGTAAGCCTCTTCTCAACATGTGTAGCAAGTTTTACTATATTTGTTGCAAGTGGACTCACCCCTTCTTTTCCTGCAGGGTGTAGAAACCCTGTTGACCCGTTCACCACTATTTCTGCAGTGCCTCCTGCTGCTGTCCCCTGAAATATTTTATATGTTTAAAATATGTAGAAATAGCAATGTACTTATGGAAATTGTCAGAAAAGTCCCAATATTTTTTGGAAAAGTTTCACTTTAGTCCTGAAAAAAATTGAACATAAAAGTCCCGATTATTTCATTTTGACTCAAATTAACAAAAAAAGTCCTTTTTTTTCTTTTAATAGGAAATAACATATTATCGTGTAAAATCAAATAATCGGGACTTTTCTGTTAAAAAAATAAATTGGGACTAAAGTGAAACTTTTCTGAAAATATTGGGACTTTTCTGACAATTTCTCATGTACTTTCGTTGATTTGTTTATTATAGGGTTAATCCCATAAAAGACCTTATGTTTTGTGTTTTTTCTGGATTAAACCTCGAGTTTATTTTTTTTCTTGAAAAATACCTTATATTTTTTTGTTTTTCTCGATCTGGCCCTTTTAGTTGTTTTTTTGGGAAAAAAACTTGTAAAGAGGGTTTTTTTTGGAAAAGTAAAAAAGTTGAGGGTTTTTTTAGAAATCGTTAGAAGGTTGAGGGTTTTTTTTGGAAAAAAAGAGAAAGTTGAGGGTTTTCTCGGAAAAAATGAAAAAAATACAAGGTCTTTTTACTTCAGGAAAGGATTAATCTCATAAAAGAGATTATATTTTGTGTTTTTTTCAGGATTAAACCTCAACTTTAATTTTTTCCCTGAAAAAGACCTTGTATTTTTTTCATTTTTTTTCCAAAAAAACCCTCAACTTTTGTCTTTTTTTTATGAAAAAAAAAACCCTTAACCTTTTAACTGCTTCCAAATAAACCCTCAGCTTTTTTAGTTTTTCTCAAAAAAAACCATCACATTTTACAATTTTTTTTGGAAAAAAATAACTAAAAGGGCCATATCGGAAAAAATGAAAAAAACACAAGGTCTATTTCAGGAAAAAAAATAAATTTGAGGTTTAATCCAGAAAAAACACAAAATATAAGGTCTTTTTTGAGATTAACCCAATTTTTTCGGAAAAAAACTTGAGGATTTTTATGAAAAATAGTAAAAAAGTTGAGGGCTTTTTCGGAAACAGTTAGAAGGTTGAGGGTTTTTTTCGGAAAAAAGACAGTTGAGGGTTTTCTCGGAAAAAATGAAAAAAATACAAGATTTTTTTTTTAGGAAAAAAATAAATTTGAGGTTTAATCCAGAAAGAAACACAAAATATAAGGTCTTTTATGAGATTAACCCTTTATTATAGTATCTAACTTTTGTTTAATCAAAAGTGCAAATGTTATAACTAGTTAGATTTTCTGAGATATAATGTTGTGTAATAAAAAAGATTGAAAGTACAAAACTTTTATTTAATATATAGGTTAAAAGTTAAATAATAATCTAACTTATATGTTTATTAGAAAGAAATGAAAGTAAGATGCTATAACACAAATTACATTGCTATTTCTTGCATTTATTGTCAAAATAGGAATATCAATATTTACCAATACAGGAAGCTGGAATGCCATAGCTTCAATTGTTATCCTTCCAAAGCACTCTCCTCGGCCCTACAGGGGCAAAAAAGGAAAGAAAAGATTGTCAGAGTTCAGAGTTTAGAACATAAACAAAAGGCTGTTTCAATGTTTACCCATAACAGGATTTCATGGGACAAGACTGAAAAGCTTTCAAAAGCTATTTTAAAGATGAGATTGATGAGGGCATTTATGTCTTTTGCACAAACAAGAGCAACAATGCATGTCAAATACAGTACCTGAGAGTTTTGGACAAGAACATCAATTGCTGCTAAATACGGGGCTACAGTTAGGGTTTTATTCACGAAATGAACTCGATGTTGAATCTTCTTCTGTGCTACAAAATCCCTAATTTCTGTTTCAAATTTCGTTTGTACACTCATATCACTCCCTACAATCACTGCATGTATTGATGGAACTTGTAGCTTCTTTTCTTTAATCAATTGTAAGCTCTCGTAAAATGAACGTAAAAATAAATCTTGCCCTTTTCCCCTTGAAACACCTGCACATTGCCACATCATTGTTATACATCACAAAAGTTTAATCTTACATCAGAAAAAAAAAAAAAAAAAAGGTATAGAATATTAGAATGTCTTACTATTGATGGCTGCAAACAATATGTCATCATTCCTGACTCCAAGAGACTCTCTAACATGCTCTCTAAGAACCCTTTTGGCTACACTATCTTCAGCAACATCCATAAGTTCTTTGCTGTTACCAAGGTGAACTACATACGTCTTTGGCATCTTAATTCTGCAAATTAAAGTGTTACTTTGATACTCAATATGATCGAAGAAGAGATTAAAAGAGTAGAGAGTGGAAATAGATGGAGTTTGGAGGTGTTTAAGAGAGAAAAGAAGTTAAACATACTTTAAGCGTTCTTGAGTCCTGTTCTCCCAATATTCAGCAGTTACATGAGAATCAATCATAGAGCCAGCAACAAAAGGCAAGTGCTTAACGTAATCCAATTTGAAGTAATGGCCTCGCATTTCATGAATCCACCATAACACCTTTGGGAGGACTCGAGGAACATCTTTGTTTAGAACAGCATCCAGCCATTTTCCAGCAACAGCTGTGTTTAAAACTACCAAATCAGCTTTTAAGGCTGTATCTATGGCTTCTTGACCCTTAGAAGAGAAGACCTGAAATATAATTGATAGGCTTAATACATATATTCATAAAAATGTGGCAATGGAAGAAGATGTAATGTACCTGTACACCACGATCCAGCATCTTGTTCTCCAAATTGTATATTACTTCATCTGTTCCAGATGGTTTTTGGTTTGTAATCCAACAAACTTCAGCACCAACACCACGTAATAAAAATGCTAGCTCCATCAGAAGCAATGGACCACCTGCAAAATCGAAACGAAACGAAGCATTGGGCAACCTCAGAAATTAATAATTGAAGAAGAAAGTGTGGAACTTGAATTACCAGAAAGAGATAGTTCATGAGAGACGAGAAGAACAAGTTTGGACTTCATGAAACTGAGGGGGCTTGCAACTCCGATCTGAGGCGGTGCCCTCTCCTTCGTCTTCTCCGTCGATTGGAACCGATTATCTTTAACGGGGGCATCGAAATGTTGGCGATCACATGAAGAATCATAAGCCGCCCTAATAATAAACGCAACGGCGGTGGAGATAGACAGCATGGCTAGCAGTAGTAACAGCCATCGCTTCTTCTGGAAACACAGTGTTGAGAATCCCGTTGACTGCTTCGCCATAGCTACAGTTTAGAAATTTATCGCTATTGTAGCTGATCCAAGTCTCCGCATTGATCTAGGGTTCGCATCACATCTGGCTACACATAGATTGCTACAGAGGTTGAAAAATTGAAATCCAAACCTACCTCCAACAAGATCGAAAAGTGATATCGAAATGCGTTTGAATATGAAGGGATGATTGGTTTGATGGGAAATCTGAGAGTAATTAGTTGATTAGAAGAATATTTGAGCTTTGAATCGGTAGTAGCAGTGGAAGAGTGAGAGTGTGGTTTTTCTTGAAGCAATGGGTTTCGTGTTTGAGAGATTTGATTTGGCAGTCGCCCCTGACATAGCATGAGGACCGGTTCAAGAGAACCGGTTTCGTGATGATTCTCATTTTTATTTTATTTTTCGTTTTTTAATTTAATATTCTATATAAAACTTCCAAAAAATTAAAGCTCAAATAAAATGTTAAAAATAAAAATTATATAAAAATAATGTATGAAAATGAAAACAAAAGAAATAGATACAGGGTAAATCAAACTATAATAAAAAGGACTATCCAAGATTTAAAGTAAGTGTTTTTGTTTGACTTGGTCTGGTTTGTTTGACTTGCACACTTAAAACTCTGACCGGGTCATTTTCCGTCTGAGCGTGTCCTTAAAAAACAATTGACTAAGAAACTTTCTAATGGTTGCCCTTCGTCAATCTCATGCAGTCTTAAGCCACATTCAGCCAAATCACTCCTTTTCTCGGCAATGACAAACCTATATCCTTGTCGTCATCATCCAACTCCGCCATCGTCGGCGTCGTTTCTGTGATCCATTGCTGGTAATCAAGATCGATATCTCAAAATTGGAAAAAGAATTAGCAATCAAATCATCTCCAAATCGTTTCCTATATAAATTAGGGTTGAATCTATTGCATATACCTTTGTTTACCACTTTTAGTAGGTTACAAGTACACTTGCATCAAATTTGGACGGATTTGGAATGGGAAGTACCACCAAATGATCAGTTTACCAGGTTAGATTAATAATTTATTACCAATTTATCCAATATTTCTACTACTTTGTTATCAATTTATCCATTTTGATACAAATTAGGTCACCGTGAATCATTGGAACCTTGAATGTGTATCAGGTGAGTCATCAGGAGGCTCATGTATAGCTCTTTATACTAGACCAACATATGGGTTGCAGGCGACATAGAAACATACCTTTTTAAGGATAAAAATTACAGTTTAAGTGTGTGTAATAGGCTGCTTCATTGTTATATATGGATGATATTTGAAAATTGTATGGTCTAAGGCATTTTATGAGAATAAACAAATCATATGATATAAAGAAAGAAATAACGGTAAACTATTATTTTTCTAATTTGAAAATACAATATGTTGATTTATGTCTTTTTTCGACTAATAATAAAGTGTTCACATTTTGACTTATGGTTATGTAGTTATTTTTTATATTCAATAATGTCAACTTCTTTTGTGTGGGGTATGTATTTTGATGCCAAGCATCCCACTTTGGTATGTATTTTGAAAGTTCTATTGTCATGTAGCAATGGGTATGCCAAAGAATAATTAAAAATATGAAACATCCTAAATTCCATAATAAAATTTTCAAATTTAAAAATAGAATAAACACTCATTTTTATAAAGTTACATTCTAATCAAACCATGAGTTATAAGGAAAACAATGCAGAATCTCGAATCATAAAATTGTTGATGTGTATGTACAAACCCGCCTTCTCAATCCGATGAATAACTGAAAAACATTTACACAACTGTAAGTCAAAGTTTAGTGAGTTTTCCAAAATACCCCACACAACAATACACATACAATGCATGTATACATGAGCCTACAGTCTGACCGGACCACCTCACAAGGCCTACAGTACACCTCGACCAGTCTACCGAGCCTATAGTCTAACTGGATCGACTCGCAAGGCCTACAATATAGTCGGACCGCTCCTTTGGACCTACAGTCTGAATGGACCGCCTCACAAGGCCTACAGTACACCTGGACCGCTCGGGTATCTTGGCTTACAACACCAAGCAGGACCGCCTCAACCCAACCAACCATAATGTGTCGATATATGCAAACAAATAAAAAATAATCAGCAAGCAAATGTAATCATACAGATCTACCAATCTAACTGATCACTACAACATACCAATCATCCTACACACAAGGATACATACTACAATACAAAGTATAGTGAGAAAACTCACCTGAACTACTCAACACCATCTCAACAGCCGCATCAGCAACAACACAACTAACCAGAGCTACCTAATGCCAAACTGTAAAACTTGTTTCCTAGTATGGTTCTATTGAATTTGTTTTCATTTATTAAGTTTGGGATTTTGTCTAGGCCACGACGTGGTGATGGAATGACCACGACGTGGCAGACCGGTTCCAGAAAATGCGCATCAGTGAACCTCCACGACGTGTCAAGCTATTGGCCACGACATGGCGACGCCTAGGGTTCAAACCCCTAGATTCCAAGATTAGTTCCCTATTAAATGCACTAACTTCTAGGGTTGCCTCATTTGGCAGATTTCCACCCTCTAAGAACGACCTTCACCCAAACTCTAGCCTATTTGTGTGTGTTTTAAGAGTGTGAAGCCATTTTTGTGAAGCTTAGAAGAAGGAGTCTATATTGTGGTTTGGGAGCTTGGCTTTAGTTTGGATCTAGCATATCCATCTCATTTCTGATCTTATGGAGGTATAAAGTCTCAAGCTTATTCATTAAATCTCTAGATCTTGTGTTAGGTCATTTTATGAGCTTTTTAGTCCTAATCTTCTTGTCTTTGGAGTTTGGGTGAACTCCAGAGCATTTGAGTGCATTATCTAGCTTCTGGACCATGGTGTTGGTTGGAAAGTGGTCTTGCATGGCCTAGGGTGTTGTCCATGAAATTGTTACAACCATTACGAGCTTAGGATTAGAGGTCTTGACTTATTGGGTTGTATTAATGGATAAAGTTGGAAACTTTATCTATCAAGACCTTAAGGGGATTCAAATATGAGCTTTGGAGTTCTTGTATGAATTGGATGAGAGCATAACACATTAAGTTGTATCTTTCCAGTTTCCATGACGTGGTAGCATGCTTGCCACAACGTGGTTACACGATATGGCCAAAGGATGACCACAACGAAGAGGTCAAGTAACATTGAATTTGACCGTTGATCATGTTCGTTGACTTTTGACCAAGTTTGACTTTTGGTAAAATTGCTAGTTTTAGAAAGTGGACTAAGGGTTTACCTTGTGTGGTTCGTTAGGTGATGTGTAGTACCCATATATCTTGGTTGTGTGAGTTGGTTAGTTGTTGACTGCATTGTGAGGTGAGTTTTCTCACTATACTATGTAGGATGTTATTAGTCTTTGTGATACTTGCATGGAAGACCAGGATTTGGCCCATGGCATTTGTATGAAAGAATAGGGTTTGGCCCCTAAAATTTGCATGTAATACTAGGGTTTGGCCCCTGGAAATTATATGGAAGACCAGGATATGGCCCCTGGCACGTGTACAAGCAAATACCATGATTTAGCCCATGGCAGGGAATAAGACTATGATTTGGCCCATAGCATCTTTATAGGGTTGAAATAGATCTGTTATGTTAGGTATGGTATGTGGTATTTTGGGGAACTCACTAAGCTTTGTGCTTACTGTTTTGTGGTTTAAACAGTTCACGTAAGGGGACGAGTCCGACATGATTGCATCACATTCACATGAGATTTCATACTCATGATTTTATTTTTACTCTGATGTTATTGGAAACACTTTTGATACTATCACTATCCTTAAAAGCAATGAATGAATGTTTTGGTTGATTAATTTTTTATCTAGTATTTTTGGGACGTTACAAGTTGGTATTAGATCCTTGGTTTGAGGGATTCGGGCACACCCTCGGGTATGTCTAAACTCAAACTGAGGAATTGATAAATCTTTTTGTAAGAAAACAAAGTTTTCTACAAAAACTATCACAAACAAAGGGGTGTGATGCATGCAATCAGCCGAACTCAAAGTAAGCAATTCCCAAAATACCCATGCATGAATTTTACACTTGAGTATGCTATTATGTGAGTTGCATGCTAGAATAGGCCTAAGGATCTCTTCAGAAAATTGCATGGTAGAATTGTCTGATATCAATGATGCATTATAGCCTAGGGAATTGGTTGTTATGTGTCACATGGAGTCTAGATTGACAATGTTAATTGCTAAGTGTATGTTTAAAAATTGTATATAATTAGGATCACATAGCCTTAGAATAATTGATTTATCCTTATTTCATGTTCTTTGTCTGGTTGTGGGCTTAGGGTAGAATAAATTGATGAGAGGAAGCACGAGTTCATCGTGTCTGAGATTACTCGCGGTATCTTTGATGCAACTCCTGTGATGTTCGGTATCATCAAGGACGAGATTATGGAGATACTGGATGAGCGCCAGGGGGCCCTTCATCTGGAGATTACAGTTGGTCAGTTTGGGGCCCGGACACTCAATTTCCAGGAGATCAAGGATTGTGGAGCCCCAAAGTTCTCCAGGAAGAAGGACCCCATTGCCAGTAGACGATGGATTCTAGATATGGGGAGCGCTCAGGGGACGAGTTTCTTCCCTGAGAGATCGAAGGTGAGGTTGGCATCTTGCCTTCTAAGGTACCAAGCTCACGACTTGTGGGAAGAGGTTGGTCATGCCTTAGGAGCAGAGGTCGTGGAGGCCATGACTTGGCCTGATTTTTTTACGAGATTCAAAGCGGAGTTTGCACCTGCTATCGAGGTGCAATATTTGGCGAGGGTGTTTTAGAACCTTTTCCAAACGACAAAGACTATGGAGGAGATCATTGTCAAGTTCATGGAGAGATCTTTACTGGTTCCGCAGTATGTTGCAGATGAGGAGATGAAGAAGACGAGGTATCATGACATGATGAGGGATGACATCAGGGAGTTTTTTAGCATTTCGGGATGTAAATGATGTATAAATATCCAAATTCTTGATGTTTCACGATGTTGTGGGCATTAGGCCATCCACAATACTCACCACTAACCACTATAGTGGTGGGTGCCACCTCATCACCACAACCTATCACTAAAACCATTGGATACCTACCACTAACACACCATTCCACATCATTTTTTTAATTTTTAATTCAAAAATACATTAAAAAGATATATATATATATATATATATATATATATATATATATATATATATATTTTTAAACTAGTTTTTCATTGAATTAAAATACCACATTACATTAAAAAAATTACATTACTTAAAAAACGCAATGTTAAAAAAACTAGAAATGCCAAACATAACTAAAAAAACTAACCCTATTCTTATATC